AGATCTAATCATTTTGAGAGATTTTGCTTTTTTTTTTTTTGGATATTGCCTTAGTATGTAAAACGTAGCTAAATGTTGTAACTTCCCACTTTGAAAGTAATAAGTTACTGGTCAAATGTGCGTCATTTAAACCTCCTCAGACAGTGACTCAAATCCCTAACCTAGTGTTTACTCTCGCCGTCTGCTATTAAAGCACAGTCCTCTGAGACCTAGAATTAAATGTATTAACTGACGGGGGAAACATCATTAGGATTGTTCACTGTTACTTAACTGAGACAGGTGTTCTGTGGACTGACGAGATAAATGATTCATTAGAAAACATCGAATTAGGGTCTAAATTTGATACTGAAATGAATTGACGGGGTACAGTGGGCTCTGTGCACAGCTAGAGTTTTTCAGCCAATGAAGAACTTACAAGGAAAGGTTTACGTGACTATTTTCAATTTCATAAGATTCCTTTTACAGCATCAATGTTTTAATGTAATTACAATACAGTCAGTTAAATAGACTTAAGCATCCATTTAGTTGTTCGAGCATAAAAAGAGATGAAAGACAGTTTAAATACAGGCGCCATCATTAGCTGCAGACTAGTGCACAAACTCTATTGAAAATACTGAGATAAAATTAAATTCCATATTTTAAAGACATGGCAAGGAATTATGGAATATAAAGCAGTGCTTCTTGTTTGGTCTGACACCTACTTCATATCAAATATCTATCTGGCAGTGAAGATAGCTGTTTTTTTTTTTAAGAAATCAGATCTTAAACACAGCGATTTTGTATAGGATGACAATTCACTGGAAGCACTGGGGCTGGCTGACTGAAATTGAAAGTATGTCTGCATATACCCCCCCTGATGTTACAAACATTTGTGGTGTTTCTAAGCACAGTTTTAATGAACATTTACAAATTCACAGTGGTTAGAACAAACATGGTTTCTTCTTAATATGCCAAATGAACAAAAAAAGATCATGCACCCTAGCAAATTAAGGAAGTTTGCATAAAGTGAAATCTAGATCTTTCATTCTATGTATTCCAACATGAGAAGACGTGTTCCTACATTCATGGCAAAACAGTAGCAGCTTCTCAAACTGCATATATCAAACTGTATGGGAAGACTCAACAAATGGTAACAATAAACACTTACAAAGCACTGCAATACTTTCTAAAATCAAGACTGCAATATATAAGGGTGCCATGATATTATATTTATATTCAGCATTATATAGGCTACAGTAGTTACACTGATGCCTTAAACACTTATTTTCATCCACATGCATTGCCGTAATCATAACTCTAAAATGCGCTATGATTATTTAAATGAAGTACGCACTTTCGGTTTCAAGTTTACTGCCAAATGCGGCTCATAACATGGCTGTCGGGACCTTGAGAATTAAAAAACAAACATGCAAATGACATTTCCGGCGCGGCTCCCATACGATCGATCTGTGCAACAAGCTGAACGTTATTTACAACTTTATTACCTGTTATTCTAGGGAGGTACTGTTTAGTAAAGTAGACATCATTGGCGGGCTTGTGTGCATCCTTTCCGTAGCAAACGAACACTGCATCAGCTCACGTATGATTTTGTGGCTATAAATACGTCATTACAATACAACAAAAATTACATTTTTTGGGTGATTTATACCTTATAAATTCAGTATGTGACACTTTTAACACCATTAAGAGGTGTCCATGTTGCTGAGCAACATATATAAAACAATGCAAAGACGACCGCCTTTACGCTTCCCTCCTGACCTTGAAAATATAATTGGCTAAATCATAAAAGCTGTGTATATGGTCGAATTGAGACCTCAATTTTTTTTCAAACAATCGTGCAGCTCTAATTCACAATGGCACAATAATACACTAAAAAATATACGCAGACTGCAAAATGTGGTTTAATTGCTCTAAGGAATCTTCAAAACATTAAATCCACCATTCACTAGAGTTCACTTTGAGCCCTGCTTGAAATCCAACCTACTGGTGCTTAAAGAACAACATCATAAAAGATAACACTCGGTTTTGTTTGACATACGAAATGTGAAGGATGTGAAAGTAGACAAAATGACTGAACAAATCCAAAACCTGCTGAGCACAACATTGTCTTCCTCACATCTGTTTTTTAAAGTCTACTCAGTGGTCGCCAAAGCAATTTTCTGAGTCCATAAAGTAAAACTCAAAAGGCTTTAGAACTCCCTGCAAAAAAAAAAAAAAAAGCTGCGCATCAAGTATTTCATTTCCCAGCAAGAGTTCTTTAACAAACATGCAAGGAAGTACACTACACAAGCCCTGCCAAAAATGTACTTTCGACACTTTCTTTGGCTCAGGGTGCATGTTCCAGGCTTCTGTTTGGGCTCTAAGCCTTCCGAAAACATTCCCCCTAAAAGAATTCCTGCATTTCTGTCAAAACACAGCTCGGACCAGGCCAAAGTGCATGCTGAGTGTGAGTGTGTGTGGCCACGCTGCACCACAAGGGATGTTGAGAGCGATCACAGGCACTGTCAAAACATTCTCTCAACCTCTCCCCTCAGAGTCACACTTAAATAGCCCCTTTCCACATCTAGGCACTTTTGCTCCTCCGTGATTGGGAAAGTTCTCCAAATTCACCACTGCCAGCAAAAAGTCAGACCATTTATTACACAACCAAGTCAGCTGGTTTCTCGGGACTTATTCTCGGGTGATTTATCAATAGATGATTTAGAGCAGATATTGAAGACAAACCAACATGTGGACGGCATACATTCAGAAGGCTGGTGCCATGGTGGAGTATATGGGGGGTTGGTGATGGGTCTATCCAGCCACCTCCAAATGAATGTGAAAGAAGTATTAATCACAATGATGGAAAAGACTGTTTAAAACGGGCTTTCTTGCATTAATGCTAGCCTTGCATATCATTTGAAGGCTTGCAGTCATTTTGATTGGAACATTTCATTCTTTAATTGATTATGTAGATCATGTGTCAAAAAATAATGCACATCTTTGGAGTTCGCTAATGGTGTTCAATTGTTTTTCACCAGTTGCAGTCCAGGCTGGCCACAATAAGTGTGTTTTTAGTCTGCCACTCGCATTGGCATAGCACCATTATAGCTATTTGACAGGGGTGGTGTTGGTATCTTAACTGTATTAATAGCAAACCCTATGAATGTGGTCATGTTTCCATGTTCTACAAACTGTAATATGTTCAATGGCTTTTAGTTACATAGCTGTAGTAATAGCAGCATTTGTTTATTTATGAATGCAACACTTATAGTTTAATTGTGGAGGCTTGCATTATGCCATCACCACACTTGGTTTCTCAGAAGCCCCATCTTGAGTACTGCACTGGCACCAGCTCTGATCCTTCAGTATTATAAAGCAACCTATGATGCAGTGAATTGAATGATAGAGAACACATAATAATGTATATTATTTTTGGGTCACTTATAAAATTTAGAAAGTCTGATTCAATTTCTGAAAGTCTAAATGAAAATGATTACAATAACAAAATGAGTTGGTGTGTCATTAGTGAAACAATAATACTAACATGTTGAGTTTCACAAATGTCTTCACATCTATGACGCACACGTTAGTAACTTATTCAGCTAGAAGCACCTTAAAGAGATAGTTTAGCCCAGTAATGTCCAAAGTCGGTCCTGGAGAGCTGGTGTCCTGCAGATTTTAGCTCCCACTTACCTCAACACACCTGCATGGATGTTTCTAGAAAGCCAAGTAAGAGCTTGATTAGCTAGCACATGTGTGTCTGATTGGGGTTGGAACTAAACTTTGCAGGACACCGGCCCTCTAGGACTGCGTTTGGGCACCCCTGGTTTAGCCAAAAATGTAAATTCTGTAATTTAGGCTACTCCTCACTGGTTTCGACCCTTTTTGAGTTCAATTCACCTGTTAAACACAAAAGACGATATTTTAAAGAAAGCTTTAAACCTAAAACCATTGACTTCAATAGTAGGCTATTTGTTTTTTCTAATTATGAAAGTTAATGGTTACAGTTTTATAGCTTTCTTCAAAATATCTTGGTTTGTGTTTAACAATTCAATTTGATTTCAATTTGTCTTTAATTCTGTGTGTGTCAAAGCAGCTTAACATAGAAGTTCTAGCAAAACAGAATAAAAAAAAAAATCTTTGGAACTACTTGAGGGTGAGTAATTACCAAATACATTTAAATTTTTTGGTGAACTATCCCTTTAATGTGAGCTCAACTTCGCCTTTATAACAAATGTTAACAAATGATATACAGGTGACGCTTACAGCAAAGAAGGTTGCTGGTTAGAGCCTCGGCTGGGTCAGTTGGCGTTTCTGTGTGGAGTTTCCCCCACAGTCAAGACACATGCGGTATAGGTGAATTGGATGGGCTAAATTGTCTGTAGTGTATGAGTGTGAATGAGTATGTTTCCCAGAGATGGGTTGCAGCTGGAAGGGCAAACGCTGCATAAAACATATGCTGGATAAGTTGTCGGTTCATTCTGCTGCGGCAATTCCAGATTAATAAAGGGACAAAGCCGAAAAGAAAATGAATGAACGAAAAATTTTTACATGCTACAACAGGGGTGTCCAAACTCGATTCTGGAGGGCCACTGTCCAGGAGACCTTAGCTGCAACCCTAATCAACCACACCTAAACCAACTGATTAAGGTCTTACTAGATATACTTCAACCTTTCTGGCAGATGTGTTGAAGCAAGTTGAAGCTAAACTCAGAAGCACACCAGCCCTCTTGGACCGAGTTTGGACATCCCTGTACTATAATAAAAGAAAAAAAAAGAAATACAAGTACCTGAAACTAAATAACTAAGCAAGTTAACACTTTTTTTATTGTTGTTGACCTTTTCTTAACATCCGTTGACTGTTTCTCGAGGGCCACACCTGAGGAAACCTGACACACTTTGCCAACAAAACACTTAAAATAAACTTTTCTTGACCCAAATTGACACTTGCAGACGTGACAAAGTGTTTATACGTGTGCTATGATGTACAGACCGGTTATCCGGGATTCGTTACTCACCCAATAACAGCAGTTTCACTTCCTTGGCGGCTTTCTCCCCGTCCTCGCGCAGATTCCTGTCAATCATTTTGGACCGCTCCAACGCGGCTTTATCTTCCTGGCTCACGGTACAGCCCATGGTTCCGAATGCGCGCTTCAGGGCGACGGATTTATGAGTATAGATTTAAGAGAAAAAATGAAAAGGTATTACCCTTTTAAAGCGAGAGGAGACCTTAAAAATAGTCTTCCGTGAGTAACTTCCTCTTTTGGCTTTAGAAAAACCCGACTGTCGCAAGTCCAAGAAAAGGAAATGTCCTTAAGACACAAGTAGCTCCAAAACCGTTGTTTTTACGCGTCGGAAAATTTTTAGCAAACCGTCTGAGGTTTGGGGCAAATCTGAACTGATATATTTGAATGAAATTTGAACAACACCTGGAATATGTTGACGGTTAACGTTAAGGCTCCCGAGAGAAACCAAGTAACCAGACGCTGGAGTTTTACATCACGCGAATGGGGAGGGAAAAAACTTACATCCACAAATACAAAAAGTTTGCCCCAAAAAAGTTTAGATCAACCCCCTTGTGCTCAGGTATGAAAAAGCAAGACGATCGGTGAAACGTGCTGCGCCTGGAAACGTGAATGAATCCGAAAATGCAACAAAAAATGTCCGTTGTGCTCCTCGGTTAGTCCTTTCGGTGGTCGCCGAGGATTTAAAGAGCACGCGCCCGTTAGAAAGCAAACGCTGAGTGGTTTCTGATTTCTGTGAGTGTTTTCACAGCCGCCACACCCCAGTCTGCTCCGAGAAGTTGCTCTCTCTGCCACACACACATACATACACACAGTTCAGAACTGTTGGGCTCCTCGCGCACTGCCAGCCAGCCCCTCTGATACGCCCACCGCGGGTGGTCATGGGAAATGAAGTTTGCACGAACCAATAAATTTGCATTCAAACGAACTTGAATAACAAAACAACTGATAATTATTCACCGTGTGACTCTACTTACTATGTCTTATTTTATATTGTAATTCAGTATTTATGATATAATATGATATATCACGTTATTATATAAATATCACGTTATTATATAAATATCACGTTTTGGCGACATGGTGGCTCAGTGGTCAAGAAGGTTGATGGTTCGAGTCCCGACTGGGTCAGTTGGCATTTCTGCGTGATGTTTGCATGTTCTCCTCGTTTTAATTGCAGATTGAATTTAATTGAGTGTATTGTATAAGTGTGTAAGTATGTGTGGATGTGTGTGGATTATATGTTAATTTCTGTTTGTTGATGTGTATGTTGTACACCTTTTATTTTATTTTCCCTTTATACGCCTTTTTATCATTTATTTTTGTACTCTTTTATTTATTTATCTTTTATTTATGTAGGCCTGTTTATTAATTTGTTTATTTTATCCACAATTTTTTTCATAAAGTTTAATAAAAGTAATTAAAAAAACTCTCCTTTCTTTTTTTATTATTATGGATGAAAGTAGGGGCGACATAGAGGCTCAGTGGTTAGCGCTGTTGCCTCACAGCAAGAAGGTTGCTGGTTCCAAAGACATGCGCTTTAGGTGAATTGAATAAATTGGCCATAGTGAATGAGTGAGTGTATATGGATATTTCCCAGTATCCACTGTGTAAAATATATGCTGGATAAGTTGGCGGTTCATTCCGCTGTGGCAACCCCTAATAAATAAGGGACTAAGCCTAAGAAAAATGAATGTATGGATAAATGTATAAACAAAAATAACATAGAGCAGATAAACAAAAACACTTGACCCTCAGGAATAAATCTGCTGGAAAGATCCAAAAGAGGATCAAAGACTATTTTAATGAAAAGTTCAAATAACAAAATCAAAAGTTCAAATAACTAAATTTTTGTCATCTGAAAACATTTTAAGAAAGAAAAAATGTTTTCACCATAAAGAATATTTTGTAAAATGAAACGTTTTTATGGATGCTAAAGGGATTATAAAGCCAAAAATGTAGCTGAAAACAGTTAACCAAAACAAGTGGAAGACAATGGTTGCTGGTTTTCAGCCTTCTTTAAAATATCTTCTTTTGTGTTAAAAAACTGGTTTGGAACATTCATTCATTTTCCTTGGCCTAGTCTGATTTATCAGAGGTCACCACAGCAGAATGAACAGCCAACTATTCCAGCAAATGTTTTACACAGCAGATGCCCTTCTGGTCACAAGCCAGTACTGGTTTGAGCCAGGATTCGAACCAGCAACCATCTTGCTGTGAGGCTAACCACTGAGCCACTGGGTTTGGAAGATCTCAAGGGTGAATATTTGATGACAGAATATTGGTTGACATTTTGGCTGAACTATCCCTTTAGAGGTTCTTCATGAAACCATCAATGACAATAAAAAAGCTTTATGTGTGGTAGCAGTAACAAACATTTTAGCAAATCTACATGATGTTTCACCTGGAATAAAACAGCACATAAGGCACACATAGAGGAAAACTTTTCATCAGTGGTATCCCTGAATAGTTTATTATATTATTTCTAATTATTTCTGTCACTTTTCTTGTTTCATTGTTCAACTTTAAAGTCATCTGGAGAACATCTAAAATATTAAATAGCTTATTATATTTATATTTATTCTATGAAGTAAATTATTAATTATTACCATTAATTAATTACACAGAGAGCGTTGGTATTTAAATGTAAACGTAAAGTATATATTAAGACATAAATGAAGTATGCGTGAAGTAGTACAGCTGACTTGTTTTGTTATTATTCAATGATGACAGATGACATTCTTCAGAGAGAGCCTGTTAGAAATCTCTTTTGTTGAGGCAATGTCAATATTGACGCTCTGATTTCAGCACTTGCTCTGTATGATATGTGCTCAGGCTGGACATGAAACCTTGTTTAATTAAATGCTTGTAGTACGATTTACGTGTCCCTATCGTTTGGCTAAAGCAAACAGCATTAATCAGAGAGCAGAGCTGTGTGTGTGTTTTATAGCGCCCTCGTGTGTCTAAAATTATAATTCACACAGTAGGTTTTAGGCGAAATCTTTAATCATCTACACTCTAAAAACGCTGGGCCATTTTAATCCACGTTGGCTATTTTTACCCAATTGAATTTAAATTACAGGCCTATTTTTAAACCCAGCGGATAAGCTTGTTCATATTTGGTAAAAACAACACAACGTTTGAGTGTTAAAGAGTGTAAAATCAAAAGTAAATTCCAAATAGCTTAATTTAACTGTTAAATAAATAAAATGGCTTATTTCTGTGCTAATGATGAAAATCAGACCCACTAACCTCAGATGCAAATCCGTTGACGAGTTTCAGTTTCTCGCAGGGCAATGAAACTCCCATAACATTGTAAACATTTCTCTCTTTCTGCCTGAAAGAAGTTTAATACAAGTTCTTGAATAAGGATGGACACTTACAAGTTTCTACATCTTGTTTATATACACTATGAACAGCAGCTACCCTAATTATTCTCTTTATTCTCCATTTCCACCTGGGGATACTCATCCCGAGATCCTCAGATTATGCGGAGTCACTGATTGGACCCAAGACCAGCGACGAGATGATCCCAAGGTGTCCATATCTGGGACCAGGCCGTATCCTGAGCTGCTGCTGCTGCGCTGCTGGTCATGGGGGAGTGGAGAGCATGAGACTGATTCCAGTGACGCTCCAGGGACAGACGAGTCTTCGCTGAGGCCAGCTTCCAGCCTCCACTGCTGAGACTGAAGCTCTGCACAAGACTTTTGGCCAGCGGAGAAATTAAAATGGTCGTGCCGAACTGAGTCTGGTTCTCTCAAGGTTCTTTTTCTTCACTCTCCTATTGGTGAATTTTTTTCCTCTCCGCTGTCGCCACTGGCTTGCATGGTTCAGGATCTGAAAAGCTACTCAACGATGAATTTTCTCTTCAGTGTTTGGACTCTCAATAATGACTTCAAACCACACTGAACTGAGCTAAACTGAACTGAACTTAAACACTAAAAACTGAACTACCCTGTTCCAGTTACTATGACCATTTATGTGAAGCTGCTTTGACACAATCTACATTGTAAAAGCGCTATACAAATAAAGCTGAATTGAATTGAATTGAATTACTAATATAGGAAAGTGCTTATAAAGTGTTAGATGGACGTCAAATCAATATGCATGTTTGACCTGTTTTTTGATGCCAACATTAACATTATTTTGATATAATTTTGACATTAAGGTGCCTGCTGGGTTGGTTCAAATAATTTGTCACACAGTTAGTGTGAACATTTTCAAAGAACTGCTCCTTCTAGGCAAGATTCTGTTTTGACGTATAAATATAAAGGAAAGAGCAGTGCTCATGGTGGAAGATAAGATCTGCAGGTTTGGAGACGTCATTTATTCTTTCAGACTTCTTTGCCCTTGAAAAGAACACCTTTTTTGTCACATTTTGTTTGTTAAATGTTATTTGTTGTTGCAGGGTTAATTGAATTCAATGCAACACAAATTAAGAGAAATAAAAATGTTTTGATATCAATCTTGAAATGGAATTGATATAAGATATAGTCTCTCAGCGAAAGACTCTTTCCAGATATTAGAGTCATTGCAGAGATGTATGGATGCAGTCCTCCAAGCTCATGGAAGTCATACACAATATTAATTCTTTATTCACTGCACCATGACTTTATATTCTATACTGTACATTATTGCTGTTAAGTGACAAGACTTTTGTCAAAGCAAAGTCAGACCTTACTGTCCTAATTAAATAATTAAAAATAAAGGCATGATCATATTTTATTTTAGTAAAATAAGCGTAATCTAGAGGCCTTTGCCTTTCATATAAGCCACTTCTGATACTAAAAGATCAACTAGAAGTCAAGCTAGTATCTTGTTCCTAAAGCTTGGATAGGCGACAAGACTTTGTCAGGTACAGTTAGTACAGGTACTGTAGTGTTTAGTAATTTAGTATTTAACTTAAATTTTTGTTATAATGTAGGGGAGCGCGGGCAGTAACTCAGGGTTAAATGTAACACGGAGTTTCAAGGTATTCGCTCAGTGTTAACCATGGCATGCTTCCAAGGTTTTCACCAGAGTGTCAGCAGACGTCAATTATTGAAAAAAATTGGCGAAATGTGCATGAGAAACACAGGAGAAAGCATTTTTGCAGCATAAAAGTATTTTTTATTAAGCTCTCAAAGCCCTTTCAGCATATAGATTCGGGCCGTAATCGCTGTAATTCCACCCTAGCCACTCATGACATGCACATACTGTATGTTTTGGTCTTGTATAAAGCTTGATTACTTTTGGAACACTATTTTTAAAACTATATCTGTTTTTTTAGGTATATATATATCTCCCCTTGCAAACTGATTGCCATTTTTGGAATTTTGCCTACGTCATATAATCTTACAAAAATACAATCTGACTGCATAGCTTTTATTGTGCTCCTGGCCTAACGACTAATATTGCTTAGGTGGAGGGATCAGAAACCTCCAACCCCAACACAGTGGATCCGTGATGTCCTGTTCTTTGTAAAGTTGGGAAAAATTAGACTGTCTAGAGATTCATATAAACAGTTTAAGAAAATTTGGTAGCCATTTAGGATATATATCCAAGAACATGTTTTATTGTCAACTACAGTCCTTGTTCCAGCAAATTGATTTTTTCTTTCCTAAGTGCAAAGTAGAGTGGATTGTGTGCTTCAGATTGT